AAAAAAAGTGGCATAGGATAACTGCGTCAAAATGGACGATACTCTTTGCCATTATCCGATTTTTGCTATTTCTTATAGTTTCAATTTTTCAATTAGTTATCTGTGTGCGCAATTTTTTATACTATTCGAGTATTGTAAGCGAATCGATCGATTTTCATGACTCTCAATGTATTAGTATTAACGATATAGATGATGATCATTTGTTAGAAGCAGTCCATATTGTATATGCTTCTATAGAAAATTTGCTTTGTATAATATTTCAAATTTTTCAAATGTATTTTGGTTTCAATGTGGTAAGTTGTAAATTATTGATCTTTAAAAACTCACATATTTTCCTAAATATAAATATTATATATTATATATTTATATATATTTTTTTTAGTTATTCCACGAGCAAACATTTCAACTGATAGCTATTGTAGTATTTGATTTTGGATGGGCCTTGTACGGGATTGTAAGTTTATTTTTGCAACTGCTGTATCATGATTTATATCCTCCTTTGTAATATGCTTTATACAGTATTTAGGGCCAAGCTTTTATTATTAAATATTTTCGGGATCAAATTGAAAAAATTCCTTCATGCCGACAAATTCCCCAATATGATCTTACTTTTCGTTATTTTGATATTCCGTATACTGTAGTTTATTTCACTCTTGCTTTAATATCGACCTTTGTTTCATTCAAATTGTATCAACAATTTGGTTGGAATATTTACAAAAAGATTGGAGCTGATGTGGAATTTAAAAGTATTTTATTTCAATTATTTTCAACTTTTCTTTTTTAATCTGGGTTCTCTTATTCAATAACCTTTTTTTTTTTCTTAAGAATTATATACGAAACGTCTTGTCTTCGTAACATTGCTGAAATATGAATTATATTTTTGTTCTTTATTCTTAATATTAAACGGTTTAAGATTGATTCTTCATGAAAATAGAGTTTACTGGAATTATCATACTGTTGAAAGAGTTTTAGGCTTTTTTATGGCATTACTGGCTTATCAATCGGTAACCATTTAAGTTTTTTTTCAATGTTATTTCGTCCTATCCAAAATTTGCTACGCTAATTAAAGTTGCAATTTTTAGATTAGATTAGAATGGAAAATTGGAATGTATATATTTTTTGTCTTATGGGTTACTTACATTCTTGATAGTTTCTTGGTTGCTATGCCAGCGCCTGGTTTCATTGGTATTTTTTAACTTTTTGGGGTATGTTGTCATTATTTTATTTATCACTTCATATTTAAATATCTTTGCAAATAATATTCTAATTTTTATTTCATATTCGTTTGTTTCTGATTAGCTCTCTTATTTATTATATTAGCTGTGGTGAGTAAATACTTATTTATCATGGTTCAGCTGAATTTTTTTTACAAGCTTTCTTCTATCAGGCGACGATCGTATTTGGTAGTTTGTTGGTAAAAGGTTTTGGAAAAGGATTGAAGAAATTTTGTATGTTTTCTTTATTTAATAATAATGACAATCAAAGTTTAATAATTTGATTTGGCAGTTTATAATTTACATACTTCGCTTAATATATAGTTGTCAAATCATCTGCAAAACTAACTTCACCTAGTCAAGAAGAAGCAAATACTGAAAGAAGGATACCAATTGACGATTAAAAATATCTTGTACGTATTTTGTAATTACTAGCTAATTTTGATAAATTAGGCCATAAAAATTTAATTTCTTGTTTTTATAGCATGAAACTTTTTTTTTTT